ACTTTGTTTCCCTGACCCTTTGCTGTTTGAAATAACCCGGCATTGTGGGATATAGTTTTAGTTATGGGGGTGGGGGTGATCGAGAGCTCAAACTGATTTAATGCAGGAGTCACTGCAATTTTTCGCAGTGGCCCGGAAAAGAAAGCGAATGCTGAACGCGACCCCGTATTCTTTTTTGCTCAAAACAATACGCACAATTCATTCTTTTTTTTAAAAAAGACAATCAACGTATTGATTTACCAACACACAAAATGTTTAATTTATTTAAGCTAGAAGTTAGGAAGTGTATAAAAACATGTTTAATTTATGCAGAAGAGTTCAATTAAATGATTAAATAATGTTGGGGACAAAGCCCTGAGCACGTCAACACAAAACATCCTCTTCCTAGTTTTCTCCCTCTTAGCGTGGTGACATCGTGACAGACCTGATGAATTAAATTGACTTTGCTGGCAGTAGTTTGGTCAAAGATCGTGTAGTAGAGAATCTTTGGTTTGGTGACCTCTGATCACAGAATTCTACACTTAAGTGTAGAATTCTGTGCCTATGGCCTCTGATCTAATGTGATCTTCTTCTATGAAAAAGGTAGTATTGTGACTTTGAACTGAACGTGGGTATACATGTGTATTATCAGTTGGCAAGAGATTTATTGCTGATGATGATTTTCATTCAGTTTTAAGTAAATCCAAACAAACATGTATCAACAGTCAAAAAGCGCCTTGCCGATTTGAAGGCGTTCAAATAGACAAGTGATTCACAGCAGTTTTGTCGCGTTTGTTTATCACGCCGGCTCACAACCAGGGGCGAAGGCTAACTTGTTTGACAGGGTAATCAAAGTGAAATGGGACCAGATAGGGCCTGGAGATATCACACTCACACAAGTCACAAGAATCTTACTGGCACTGGAGGCGGCAACTCTGAGTTGTGAATGAAAACAAATCCTGAATTCATGTTGTATGCTTGTTCAATCGCTAAAATAATCGGGAAAGTATTTAATTAAATATTTATTCTAACTAACCTTAAATTTAACTTTAGATTTGAACACACCAACACCAAGGAAAGAAGCACAGATGCCAGCACTACAATGGCATGTTATACCAGACAGCCGAAACACTTTGGTAGAGCACGGCAATTATTAATTTTTTATTTCACATTTGGCTGTTTTTTTGTCTAGCTTTTCGCGGCCAGGAGCCGCTGTCATAATCGAGGTCACGATCTGATTATAGGACGTTAAAAAGTCGAGGAAAAAAACCAAGCACTAGTAGTGTAGTAGCAAGAGTCAAAGGATTATTAGGAGTTAGTTCCCCTCACATCTGTGAGGTAGACTCGACCAGTGTAATAGTTCGCTTAGATAATCAGCGCGTCTGGGTGCTTATAACTGTGGCCCGAAAGGGGTGAACAGGGTATATGCGACAATGAAACAGTTCTGACTGCTATGCACATGTTCTCTTCAACTCTATTGGTTGACTCTTCTAGCCTCACTTTAAGCTTACTTAATCAAAGCTTGTGATTGCTTATGGAGTGGCCCGATAGGGGCGAACAGGCTATTTCTGTGGCAATGAAACGGTTTTGAAGGTTAGGCATTTATTGTTCATTGGTGATTATGAACGTCTTTTTACATTTAATTTATGATGTTTACATCTATGGGTGAATTTGACTGCGACAATGTTTCAAAATTAGGAAGGGAAGCAGTGATTATTTGATTATATAGACGCTTCGCCTCTGCTCACAACTGTTACAGTTAAATCGTCTCCTGTCACGTCGCGGAACTTCGTACGAGGACAAACCGAACACGGCTCGCTCAGCGATGACGTCAGTCCGCTGGGCAAATCCATCGACAGTCTACAGAGGGAATAGAACACCCCTTAATTGCCAAATTGGCCTCTGTGTTGCTTACAAAATTAAGAATGAGACTGTCTTGAGCAGCACGGACACATGTATTATTTTATCAGCAATATATGTATATCATTCAGACTTTCTCTATCTATTATAAGAACAATTATTGTCAGCATGGCACTAATCTTTTTTCGTTTATTGAATTATTAGCCACCTATAGTTCCTGTTTGGTATTAATTCATCGCTTTTTCCCCACTAAAAACTTACCTGGCCCATAGGAGTCTGGCCGGCGAAAGGAGGAATCGTCTAGGCCTAGTTAAGATATATAAGGAGAATTATAACGAGGAGCGCTAGGCACTCGGCTGTAACAGTCTGGGCCGAGAACAGTTAGGCCTACCCATCCCTTCCGTCCCCCTTTCCACCGTCACCCCAGCAAGACACCAAGTTCTATAATTAGCGTTTGACACACTTCCCCACTTTGTTACAACAGTGTTCTGTTCTGAGAACTGAGAACTGAGAAGTGCAATGAAGAACGTTTGATGATATAATGATTGGAAACTGTTGTGTGCTAACTTTGTCCAGCTTTGTATAGTATCTGATTGTAGACTTGATCTGCATGGGACAGCGTCACTGGTACAGTATCAATTGACTTTTTATCATCATACAC